TTTTAAAAAGTTATAACAATTTAAAAAATTTTATAATTAAAAGGTGATGGCTTTAGATGAAATCCACTGTATAAAGAGAATTTCTATTTTTACCTGGGTTATAGTCACCCACCCGGTAAATTTTCTGGTCATGTGTCCAATGCTATGATCTAGCCAATCAAATTCTAGCCTTAGTCACGTGACTGCTGCTATGATTTAGCCAATCAAATACTATCATTAGTCACTTGACTGATGCTATAACCCAGCCAATCAAATAATAGTCTGGCACTATTACATTCTACAAAATCGGCAAATAACATAACAAAGCAAATTATATTATACTCGAAGCATGGGTAGTAACTGGAGCATTTTTGTTTATTACACATAATGGTTTTCATATGTAGGTGAGTCTATATCAGGGAGTCTTTCATATGACAATTTATAGTCACAGGCTTTTGTAATCTTAGATTGCTTTCCCACAAAAATTATACCCGTGATTTTTTATCAAGAATAAACCAGTTTTGTGTTTGGGTTAGAGTAATAATAACTTAGATCTAGTAGTAAAATTTCACGATCATTTTTAATTAGGCCACAGAATATGATGGCTTAATTAAAATTTCGAGTAATTGCAGTTTTTGTGTAAAAAAGTGGTTTTGCTTCAATTGTCTGATCTTGAAATTTGATTGGTCTAAAATCACAGGAAGGTACAATTTTTGAGTATTAGTTAAGTAAATTCTGATGAATTGTGAATGGATCATGATCGACAAAAAGTATATTACATCACACAAATAATGTATGGCAAAAATAATATAAAAGAGTAAAAAATTAAGATTATAGTTTCTTCTCGTCTTTCTCTTGCAGTGATACATGTTATCAATCCAAATTTAAGTGATACACAGTATTGATCCAAATTTACATAGAACGTGGTATTAATTCAAATTTACAGTAATACGCAGTATTTGATCCAAATTTACAATAGCATGTGGTATTAACTCAAACACTTTATTATTGTTATTATCTTATAGATATACTGTATTGTCAATTGTGCCTTTAAGCTATATAACAGTGAAGAAACGGTTACTGCATTTAAGAATAAATAGCCTTTCTTCTAAAATAAGTTCTTATAACAATGAATTTGACACTGATACAGATATCGAACTTGACATTAACCTTGATACCGATCATGAAGAAACTGTTCATATCAATATTAATGAAGCAACTCAAGAAACACTTTCAGATAATAATTCACCATCAATAGTAGTTGGGCAGATGTTCGCCAATTGGAATGATGTTGAACGACACATTAATGTCTATGCTCTAAAACAAGGGTTTGCGACAAGACTTGATCATACAGAGAAAAACTTAGGCATTACTATCAGGGCAGAAATTGTTTGCTGTCATGCTGGCATTGCAAATAGCAAAAGTACTGGGTTGCGAAATACTAAGAGTATTGCAATTGGTTGTCAATGCAAAATAGTTATTTGTTGGTCAAAAACAAAATGTCACTATTACGTGAAATCTGTCAATCTCGAACATAACCATCCTATGGATACTGCGGTGGCTATTTTTGATCCAGGTTATTGCAAATTAAGTAATAGTGAACATGTTTATATACGAACGCTTTATGATAGTGGAGTGCCAATACCAACAATTATAAGAATGCTAAATGAGGAGTATGGTAGATATGTCTATAATAAAGATGTATATAATTCTTTAAGCAATAAATCCCGTAATCGTGTTAAAGGTTTATCACAAATCGCCGAGCTTTTGAGCAGTTTACATAACAAAAATGATTATTTAGTTACATATTCAATTAACAATAACAAGCTTCACTGTCTATTCTTTGCTACTCAATTTGAACTTACAAAATTTAAGTGTTAGCCCGAAGTTGTATTAATAGATTCTACTTACAAGACCAATTGGTTTGGAATGCCGCTTTTTCTAATTAGTGGTATCAATTCAATGGGCATTACATTTCTTATCGCATGTGGACTTTTTGCTGATGAGACTGAAGTAACTTTTTGTTGGATACTCTGTCAGTTAAAACAAGCAATTGATGATACAGCTATTCACAATATTAAACCAATTTTAACTGACAAGGATCTTGCACTGCTTTCTGCAATTCGGACGGAAATGTCCCACGTCAAACACCAACTTTGCACCTGGCACGTAGAACAAAACATAGTCAAGAATCTGAGCGGCAAACTTAAGGATAAATTTGTAGCCTTTAGTAAAGATTTTAAGGTGATAATGACGGAAACTGTTGAAGATCGATTTATTATTTCCTGGGATCATCTGTTAGTTGAGTATCCTGAGGCTTGCAGTTATATGGAACAATAGAAATCTATTGCCCAAATGTGAGCATACTGTTATACTAATAAAAATACCAACTATAGTATAAGAACGACACAATGCTCAAAGGCAAGTAATGCCTATTTAAAGCCTTTACTCAGCCATACTGCACCTTTATCCGAATTTGTTAATATGTTAAAAAAGCTATCTTGTCATCAACTTCAACATTCCCAATATTTGCAGTATCATACACGTGGAAGTATATGTCAACAATGTTCTGAAATATTGAAAAATGTTTCTGCGGCTGTATCAGATTTTACTTATTCATTATTGATTGAATAATATAATAAAGCTAATATTTATGATGTTGAAAAACAAGCAGATGATTCATTCAAGGTTTTTAATAAAAATTGCAAGCACATAGTTTATCAAAATTAAATGGGGTTAATTTGCGATTGCAATTATAATAATCAATTTTTTTTACCATGCCGCTATATTATTGCAATCTATATTGCCAATAAAAGTCTATGAGTATTAATTACATCAGCACCCGTTGGATAGTTAGGGTAATTAATACAAATAATACAGTAATATGACACAACATGAAGAACAACCTGAAGCGCAATATTATTTTACAGATGACAATAATTCATCAGTTGAAGTATTGTCTTCTGAAAATTACAAAGCTTGTAATATATCGATTAATCAACAGTCAACAGTTCGATGCACTTCTAATTTACTTAAAGAAGTTGATATAATTTCCAATAGAGTTGGCCATGTTGAAATTAATAGTAGCTTGCCCTTTTTGTGGATCAGTTGAGCAACAAATATCCTTTACTAGAAGCCGATATCCAGGATCCTACGAATATCAAGACAAAAGAAAGACCGAATAGCACAAGGCGTAATAAGACAGATGCGGAACACGCTTCTAAGAGAGCATATGCATGCGGTGTCTGTAATGATACTGAACACAATTCTAGAAGCTGTCCATTCAAGGTAAAAAAAAATTATTATATCTTATGATTCAAAGTTTAAATGATATATTTTAATTTTTTTTTATAATAGTGACTAGGTTAAATTTATCAATGTAATAGTTCATAACGAACATACTGTATGTAAGCTATTTTCTTGATTGTTATTATAATTGGCATTTATATAAATTTGTTATTTATATGCCATATTTTATTTTATTATCTATTGTTAAGGAATGTCTAAACGTAATATTATGTCCAAGATTGGTTTAAAGATAGGTTTTAGACTTAATTTTACAACACATTTATATTTGTAATATGTTTCAAGCCAGGTACTTATAATAAGTATATACGTACTTCATGATGTTATGTATCAGATTATTAGATGAGTTTATGTCCAAATTAGTTTGAAAAATTAATTCAATATCTCTTATGAGTTGATAATGTTCATATAAATTTTGGACATTATAAAATGGATAAATTTGACAAATTAATAATTGCAATGATTATGAGCGAAGTTTTTAATTAACCTGATCAAAAAAGAATAGGATTTTCTTATATATCATATTCTTCAACTAAATCTAATATCAAGTACTGTATTTACACAATATATATACCCCGTGGGCTATACTCTGCAGCAATTTAGAGTGCTGAATTTTGATTTTATACCGGATATATAAGTATGGGTGTATCATACTTATGTACCTGAGTATATAATAGTAAAACATATCAACAACATAGAAGTACTTGTACAGTAAAATAGACTAGAGAAGTACCTCGGGTACACATGTTGAGTAAATATGGTACATACGATCTATTTAACCTTCATAAGTGCATGTCAAAAAAAGTAATTTGCACACATAGCCTGTATATAATATTAAATGATGTGCACTTATAGGGGTGCATTTATGGAGAGTCGACTACATTTATGACTACCAGGCTTTAAGCATCCTCTGTATGCTGTACTTTTATTCAAATATCGTAAACCAAAGATTGAATTCAGACCTACAAAAAAAATAATTTGCACCTCAAAATTTTACAAAATTTTGGACGTGAGGGTTTAAATGATTTTTATTACATTATTTTATTGGCCGATATCTAGTATTAGTTATCGATAGCATTATTTGTCGATTTGTAAAACTTGATTAGCCGAGTTGTAGTGTCTATTTTGTGACTAATGATAGTATTTGGTTGGGTAGCAAAATATTCATTTTTGATACTTTTACGCCTACTTTTTTGATACATCTAAACATACCCTAAAACTAAACCATAGGGTTGTATATTATTATAATAAAAGTTAAAATTTTAGGGTATGTTTAGATGTATCAAAAAAGTTAGCACAGAAGTAACAAAAATGAATGTTTCACATGACTAACGATAGTATTTGATTGGCTAAGTCATAGCGGCGGTTATGTGACTAAGGCTAGAATTTGATTGGCTAGATAATAGCATTAGACATATGACCGGAAAATTTACCAGATGGGTGACTATAACCCAGGTGAAAATAGAAATTCTCTTATATAAATACTTATAATTATTAGTAATAAATAAGTAATTAATTATAATACTAATTAAATATTTTAAAAATAAGTATTAAATAAGTAATTCATTTTAATACTTATTATATACTATAACAATAAGTATTAAATAAGTAATTAACTTTAATATTTATTGTCTGGAACAAAGTGACAGACCATTTATTTCTATGTATTGTGATACAAAAATTACTTTTTTGATGCATTATATTTAAAATATCAAAAAAGTAACTTTGCATTTTCCGTCTGTCTACTCACATGATTTAGGGTTATATAAAAATTTTAGGCTTATCCTACACCCTACATGTTGTTAATCTATAAAAAAGGTGGGGTTTTTTGTGCTATATTAAAAATAGTATTATTTTTTTGAACTTTATTTTTTTATTTTGCATCTCTATATATCATTAATCTATAAAAAAAGAGATCAGCTAATACCACCCCCTACTTTTACTAATGCTACCCCTATATAGTTTAAACTACTATACTAAATTTTAGTTATATGATTTGTATAATAAAAATAACTAATTAAATTATAATATTAAACTAACTCTAATCCTAAATCTAATTTAGTTTAAAGTTAGTATTAGAAATAAAGGCTAGCTAAACTATTTGAAGTAGCATTAGCAAAAATAGGGGTGGCATTAGCAAGTCTCTAAAAAAAATAGGTTTTTTAGTACTATATTAAAAATAGGGCCTTTTTTAGGGTCTTATTTTTATATAATATAGTTAATAAACTATTTTTAAAGATACCTTACTATTTACTAGGCCAATTTTGATGATTTAACTATTATTAGAATAGTTTCAATAAGCTTTACAACTTTAATTAGAGACTCAAAGATAATTAACTTAGTACAAAAAAAGTTTAAAACTCTAATATATTTAAATAAGT